AGCAAACCACAGCCAATGGGAGCTGCAAGGCTCCATGGATGCGGAACTCTAGCGTAAACAAAGCGTCATGGGCCCACATGGGGCTTTCCCTGGTGGCTGCATGATCCAACTTTGAAAACCCCCTTGAAAAGTTTCAAGCACAGTCTTGAAACTATACGTAAAGAACGTCACCTGAATTTAGAGCTCATTCTTTACTGTCATGATTATATTTCATGGCATGCTGTTCTTTTAAAGTGCCTGGGCCTTATCCCAATTAATTACTGGTTTTGGTTTAGCTGGTGCTATTACTGGCACATGGTATTTGTTCAGATAGATGTTGTTGTAATATAGATATTGCTTCCTTTAAATAATCCATTCTTGTGGATTATTGTACCTGAACTGAGGTCTATTAACGTCCTTGAGGATAAATACATGTAGAGGAAGCTGCCTGTGTAAATCTCACTTAGCCCTGGTCTACACTAGGACTTCATTTTGAAATAACCCCCTTAAGGTCGAATTTATAAGCAGAGCATCCACACTATCAAACCTGTTATTTCAAAATAATCGGTCGTTTAAATTGAAATCTGTACTTCGGCTTTTCATCAGAAAAAATGCCAATTATGAAATAGTTATTTCAAAATAGTGGTCATGTGGACCTGCTGGTGCTACTATTTTGAAATCTCAGAACAGGCGAAGATCTACCGCACCGCCCCTTCCTTGAAGCCCTGCCCTCTCTATTCTCCTCCTGTCCATCACTTGCTATCCCCAGCCCTTACTTACACACTCTGATAAACACTTTATTTTTAAATTATGCGATACATACAATTAAAATCATGTTTATAGTTATGAAATAAATGGTCTGTTTATTCATGCTATTTAAATCTAAAATGAAGCATTTATAATTATACATTTTGTGGGGACAGAGTTCTGCGGCTGGGGGCAGGGGAGAGGGAACAGGGTGCTGGGAGGGCAGAGGGTGGAGGACAGGGTTCTGCAGCAGGGAACAGAGTGCCAGTGGGGACAGGTTTCTGCAGCTGGGGACAGAGTTCGGGGAGTGGGGATGGGAATGGGGACAGAGTTCTGTAGCTGGGGACAGGGGAGTGGGGACAGGAATGGGGACTGAGTTCTGTGGCTGAGGCCAGGGGAGTGGGGACAGCATTCTGTGGCTGGGGAGTGGGGTGCCAGTGGAGGCAGAGTGTCCCCTGCATCTCCCTCCTCCCAGGATTCTCCTCCTC